GCCTATTAAGATGTGTTTTATTCGAGATAGACCTAATAATGCATAATTTAGTTGGTTACGCCCATTGAAACACCCACATGGTATTTCTTTTGAAACTGATCATGTAAAGTGCACAAAGGAACAACCGGATTTGTCTCCACATGGTCTATGATATGCTTGGATATGAACATAATGGTATAAGCCATAACTTTCCTTGTTTGCAAGAATATGTGATTGTGCTTTAAAGTCTTGATAAACTAATCAGAATTAGGGTTAACCGTGAAGCATGGAGTGATCGAATTATAGTTAATGATGTGTAACATTACTTCTTTGACCTTTCTTTTAGAAATGGTAATTAAACTAATAACTTATCCCACATTCATGACAAGGACCACTCATCTATAACCTGCCTTAATCCTAATGTTGTTATTTTTAAAGTAAAGATTCCTTCTAGTTTCAAGTGCATGTAAATAAGTTTTTCCTTTAGCACTTTTATAGTTTAAATATAATACCAAAATATAAACTAATTTTACGCACTTCACCAAGATTGCATCTTTTCTCTTTACCCAACTCTTTAATAATAGCTCTTCTTTTACTGTCTTCATTCGATCCATCATCTAAAGAGTCGCACTCATCATTATTTATGACCTATATGTCTTCTTGTTCATCACCTTTAGGAAACACACTATGAAACTCTCCCCCTTCCCCATAAATTCCACATCAATATCAATGTTGAGCCTGAAGTCAACCATGCCAACATCCATATCAGGGATATTGTTCTCCCCATCTACTAAAAATTCTTTTATCTTATGAGTCACAAGTTACATCATTGCATTGATCTTCAATTTCATCCTTAAGATGATAAAGACTTTTCATTTAACATTATTATCTATCGATGTATCCCCACTCGTTGTAGTATCCTCAATAATAATGGGGATGTACTGCTACATGTTCAAATTCTTTTTGGCCTCAATGCAGCATCTTGATCATCACCATTATTTAAATCTTCTTTATCTTGTACATCCTTCATGAAAACATTATTAGTGGGTTCCTAAACAAAATCATCCAACTGAAGTTTCTTTCTACAAGAACTTTGACCTTTTGATGACTTCCCCATTCTAGTTTTTCTAATATTTGGTGACACTTCTTGATGATGACTGCCAAAAAGTATCAAATATATGTACTCTTTAAGCTATTGATCAACAACAAGGTTATTATTTGCATATCCTAATGGGGTTTTATTATTAAGTTCATTGGCTGTTTACTGTGTTATTTTTCCCCTCTAGAATAATTTTTTGTTTTTCTTTTGGAGGCATGAAGTAAGTTAGCAAATACGTTATAACATGCCGAAAATTTCAAAGAGATTTTTCATTTTCAAAATAAATTAACCAATTAAAAACCTTTATCTCGGAAATCATTAAGTAACATTTATTGTTTAAAACCATACATTATCAGAGTTAAATTACAAAACTTTAGAAACGAATATCTTCGATGTGTGTGCACAGTCCCGTCGAGCTCTTCTCATGAACAACCTACAAAACATTTAATCTACAACTATAATCATAAAGCTTAGTGATTTACCCAATATACCACATATTCCATCATACATATAATGCATCCACATAAATTCCTCGGCTCTAGCGCCAACCTATCAACATACATACATTCATATCAGTATAGAACATGTGAATGTTATGGTCCTCCTATAGTCTTATGTATGGTTTCCATGGTCCTCCCATGGTCTTCCTGCCATGGTCCTCCCATGGTCTTTCATATAAATTCCATGGTCCTCCTATGGTATTTCATACAGGTGTCACGGTCCTCCCATAGTCTTTCATGTAAATGCCATGGTTTTTCATGTAATTATCAGGGGCCAAATCCTGCTCTTTGATACATTACAAAAAGTCATATGGAGACAGAGATGAGATAGACAATCGAACAAATGATCCATTCGAGAGCGAACAATCATACAATAACATTGAAATAAGGCATTAGACCAAGAGTTCTCAGGCTATCCAAATTAAACTACATAGAACCAATGCTATCATTACCACATAATCATATAACATAAACACATAACATATATTAACATATTACATATCCTTGGTAACTAGACTTCCCTAGTTACCCTGCCATTTATCACTTCTCAATTAAGTCATCCGCTGTTCAATCACACATAATCCTGATAACTGGCCTTCCCCAGTTACCCTAACCAAATATAACTCCTAGCGGTATCAAACAATCAACATGCAAGACCCTACCAGTCTAGCATACCAAAACACCAAGTGTTATAACACGTACTAACGAGGACTTATCCTAGTCAACTATAATACTTGTACCCTAATGATACCTCTATCCTACCATGCAAAGGATATACAATGGGATATGTGGCATAGTGAGAAACTCACTTGAACTGAAGAACCGGAGAAGAACAACAACACTCTCACACCTTGCACTACTCAATATCGTGAACCGACTGACACCAAAAGAGATAAATGCCCAATCAACAACCCAAAACCTCTAAGTTTGACCCCAAGTCAAACTGGTCAAAAGTCAACGGTCAACCAAGTCAACAATCACCACGTCGTGGGCATGCCAAGACATAAAAGACGACATGCAGGACATCGCCACGTCGTGGGCCCTCCTTGGCCATGTCGTAGGAATGTCAGGACAACATAAGCGCAAATCAGCATTCCGCCACATTGTGGTTACTGTCAGAAGCTATTTTTCTCATTAAGGACTTAATCCATTAAGTCCTTTGCTCCAACTTTCCAGAAGGCTTCCATTGCCCTCAAATGAACCATAAAAATCCTTACTTTATGGACATGCATTTCCATTACATGTCTCTTCAAAAACTAGGTGAAAATAGGGTAAGAAATGGAGTCAAGACTCCATGCATGGCACCAATCAACATGAAAGTCTAGATCTGAAACATATTATGACCTAGGGACCTCAAGAAGTGATAAAGTTGCCAACTTTATCAAAACCAACCATTAGTATCAACATAACATGAAGGAAATGAGCTCAAAAATCTAGATCTACAAGGATGAACCATAAATGTGAGAACTTGGAGACTTACCCAAGTCCAGAAGATGCAACAAGAGATGAAGACAATATGCTAGCTGATCCTTTGCTCAAAAAAGCGTTCCTTCAACCTTCAAATGACCAAAACATCAACAAAGATCTTAAAAGACAAGAGGAGAGGGTAGGGTTTCGAGATAGGAGGGTGGGGGCTGAGGGAAATGACCTAACCCTAGAGATAAAGCCATTAAATATGGAGGAAATCCTAAAGGCTTAGGTTGCAACAACTGCAACAGTTGCCACGTCGTGACATCCCTTCATGCCACGTCGTGGCGGCCACCAGATGCACGCTTCTTGAATTTTCCATGCCACATCATGGTACCCCATTTACCATGTCGTATCATATAGTTTCCCTCAAAAACCATATATTTGGCCCCATTGAGTCTTCAGTTGATGCATGTTGGAAAACGGGTGTTACATACATTTTTCCAAGTTCGGTATATATACTTAAATCAACTTGTTATGTGGAATGTATTTTGCCATATTTAAGACATCTTGATCTTTTCCCAATGCTATAAGACCAAAATCAAAGTCAACATTAGGAATCCTAAAATGATAGTTAGGGGTATGGAGTAACAAAGTTCAAGCATTATAACATCAAGTTCATTTACCGAGAACTCATCAATGTCTGCCAAATCGACATAGTGCACTTCACCTCCTACGTATATGATTTTTGGAAGTTATAGTGTAGCTTTATGGTAAACATTGTGGAATTTGCATCTATAAAAAATAGATCCAAATGATAGTAAAAAGTCTTCAATTTGACCCTAATACTCAAGAGCATACAAAATTTCATAATAAGAAAAGGAGCAACTAACCATAAATTTGTGAAGTGTCAAACTCTTGATTTACTAGTCTTCTTGTCCACATTATGTACACCATCTGCATTTAAAATGTAGAAACGACTAAGTGTTGTATAGAGAAGAAGATAGAAGTTGAATAGCCAACTGTGACTTAGGGATCTTAAAAGGGATTGTAGGGATAATATTTTCTTCATTGTGGTGTTAATACGGAGACAGTACCACAACAAAAAAAATACATATTTGCCCTCACATGGCGAGGGAATTAACAACTAGAAGTTAACATATGTTAGCTTGGAAGACCAATTCCACATGGAAACTAGCTGGAAATGACTATTTCTCCCATTTTTGGAAGGTTTGGACTAATCTTCTGAGAAAATGCAAATCACGTAGACCATTTTTGCAGTTTTATCAAAAAACAATCTCATCCGCCAATCCATGGTAAAAATCAACTTAATAATTAATATGCTGGATTAAAGTTTTTAACTCATTTAGTTAAATAGATTGGGTTATGGTTGAAATTTCCAACCTGATTTCAACCTGCCAACATGTTTTGATTATTATATTTATTAAATATTAATTTTTCTAATGTTATTTGGACACTTGATTTGTGTTTGCGGTTTTAGTTTTTCAAATTTGAACAATTATTGAAGCTTATAACTTTTTTTTCATTTTAATTGAATAATAATTGGAGTATGTAAGTTTTTTTTTTTTTTTTTTTTTTAATTTAAATGTTCCAACCCGAGTTCAACCCGTTTATCAAACATGTTGGGATGAGAAAAAAAAATAAACTTGTCAATCCGGTTTACACCTATTTACTAAACATGTCGGGTTAAGTTTATATTTCTCAACCGATTTATTAATCATGTTAAGTTGAGTAGGAAATGAGGCCTATGTCGACGGCACTTTCAGCCACTATGCCGACGACAGGTCGTCGCATTGCCCCGTCGGTAAAAATGGAAAATGTCGTCGGGATAGATGTCGTCGGTACAGAGCCACCAATGCTGGCGACAGGTCTGCAAAGGATCGTCGAGAGTGATTTTCGATAAAAAAAAGTTTTATTATAAACCTATTCCGACGATGTAGAGATTCAAATTCAACAAGTGAGTTGTTATCATATGCAAAATAACAAATACCATTGCATCCTTGCAAATTAACCTACACATGGAAACATCAAAACAACACTAGTAAAAAGCCCTAATTCAAATCCTTAATTAAGTTGCTTTGTTCCTGATTTCTGACCAAGGAGCAAATTATATTCTTCTCTTAATTGCTTATATTTTTCACTTAAGTTCTTCGTAGCTTCGATTTTATCATATACATTGTCATTCTTGGTTTCTTCTAGTTGACGCTTCACGTCTTTGATTTGATTCTTGAGCACGCGTGTCCTCTCCAGTTTTGTGTTGTGTTCTTCTTGCAAAGTTTCCATTGTTGAAGATGTCCTATTTGCTGAATGATGCTCGATAAACAAATAAATAAGTATGCTTTTAGAGTAACAGTAAAATTATGAGAATAACAAAAATTATGAAAACTCGAGTTTTTTTGTAATTTCTTTTACATATCAAGTGACCATTAATATTAACGAAAAATGCCTTACTTACTTATTTATAAAACTAAACTGTACATTCTAAATTTGATTTTACCAAGCACCTTGTGATTTTGATGTTGTACAAAAAAGCACTAATCCAAATAGAACACAAAAAACATAAACGTTACCGAAGAAACTGCTGTTGTCTTCCATGACTTTGAAGGCTACTCCTAACAAACATGAATATTAGATTAACATAAAAGCAATAAATAATAATTAATATAAAGAATAAATGTTCTAAAATATAAGAAATGATTCGGAACCGTAAGTACATGTCTTAAGACACAAGCTATTGATTAAAAATTTATACAATTATTAGTAATAGAGTAACAAGTGACAACAATATATCAAATGTAGATAGGGTGTATGCATTAAAATTAGTAGGTGTAATTAAACTCGTCGTCTTCACACATTTGTTAAGTTTTTTCGTCTCCTTGTTCTCTAGTAATCACAAAGACATATGTACAGATTTCCCTTGTATATATATGTATTGATTCTTTCAGATTTATTTTGATTGGTTCCTGATAAAGATACTTTTGAATTGTTGTTGATAATATGCAAGTTGTTTGGTTACGAACTTAATATATGCATCACAGAATCACACTATTAGTAATACTTAGTGATCTTGATACTTTTTATGCAAACATGAACTTTGGCACTTACTACTGGGACTTCAAAGCAGTCATTTGCTCAAATTTGATATATATACTTGATTATATAGCTCAATGAGATATAAGCTCGATATCAACTTCAAGAAATTTCACGTGTAATTCAAGAGTTTCCATAGCTCAATGAAAATATCATATGTTCAATAAATATATTATTCAAGCTGGAGTTAAATAAGTATAACGGATACATAGAGTTCGAAAATCAAAACTCGATAAGAACTTAAGTTTGAACATTTTAAAGACGAACTGGACTCACTGATAAGAATTTAAGTTCGAACTTGAATCACCCGGTGATAAAAAGCTCAACTCATTTACAAATAATATAATCATTAAAGAAAATAAGTGTTCGGGCTGGCTTTCTTACCACAAGTTAGAGATCGTATGTCTAAATTCCATGATTAAACATGTCTAATCTATTATTGAAAATACAACAGTTAATGAATTGTAAAAGTTCCAAAAGACAAATGCAATCGATAAAAAATAATATAAAATCAAACCTGATACGATTGAAGACTAAAAGTTGATTTTGCTGCAAGAAGGATGCTCTCTTTTCTTTGACCGGTCACCCCTTTGAGTTTGCAGTTTGCACTGACCTTACACACATGCAGGCTTAAATAATGATATCACAAGATAGGACAAGTACACATAGAATCAGACACACACATACACACATCCATGCACACATTTGAACAAAAAAACAAGACAATTCTACACACACAATATATATATATATATATATATATATATATATATATATATATATATATATATATATATATATATATATATATATATATAGGTTTGGGAATATGTGGATGTTATACACATAATGATATGTATAAAACCTTCAAAAACTATATAGTTTTAACAAAATGCAAACAAATATTTCTACCATCTTTCTTGAATCCTCTATTAGAGCTTATTGTAGTCTTTGTATATTTTTTTATGGAGTTTTATAAGTTTAATTTTGCACCACAAACCGTGTATAATAATAATATTTTACCAAATACTTGTAGGTCTCCATTGTAATGTCCCAAAAATAGTAGTAAAATTTTCATTTTTAAATCATTAAATCTATACAAACATTTGTTCCGAAACCAATCAGAGTAAATTGTATTTTTCAACCATCAGAGTAAAACATTAATAATTAGTGCGGAAAAGCCATCAGGGAATGATGTGCAGTCAATTCGGGAATTTCCCTCTACAACTGGAAGTACCTGAAAATGTTTAAACCAAAAACCGTAAACACAAAGCTTAGTGAGTTCACCAAAAATATCACATACCATACAACGGGCCCAACCCAACATACCCATGGGCCCAACCCAACATGAAAATGGGGCCCAACCCAACATGCATACCAATGGAACCAACCCAACATGATAATGGGCCCACCCAACATGCATACCAATGGGCCTAACCCAACATGCAAATAAGCCCAACCCAACATACATATAAATGGGCCCAACCCAACGTATAACAAATGGGACCAACCTAACATGCATATAAATGGGCCCAGCCCAACGTACACATGAAAGAGTCACAAAGACAGCTAACATCCTACACGGTATAGTGAGAAGACTCACCTGACTCATGAGATCAGCTAAACCACAACTCAATACCCCGCAACTGATGCTACAATACTCCTATTAAAATATACAGGGTCCAACCTTAGTCTACGCACTCAATCCAACAATCTTGCCCAAAAGCCAACCCAGGTCATCAAGTCAACGGTCAAAGTCAAAGCCAACAACCAACAATATCAACCAATGAGCCTCACGTCGTGACCATCCCTTGGTCACGTCGTGAGAACACACTCAACTCGATTCCAACTTGACTCGTTCTAACTCAACCAACTCGGTCACGGACAACCCACTCAGCAAGCATCATGACGTGAACCCTCCTTGGTCACGTCGTGAGCATAACATGACAATATAGTCGCGAAATCCATCCTCGGCCACATCGTGACATCCTCATTTTCACATCGTGACCACATTATGAGGCAACCACTTAATGATTTGAGTCCTTAATCAATTAAGTCTTCCACTCCCACTTTCCAGAAAGCCTTAAGGGACTCCAAAGGTTAATAAAAATGATAACTTTATGGATATGCATGCTCCATACATGTCCTCTATCCAATCTAGGTCAAAGGCCAAGAAAATGACTCAAAACTCATGCAAGGTTCCCAATTCACAACCAAAACCTATATTTGAACCAAATAACACTCAAAAGGATTCAAGGATCCATAAAGTTGCCAACTTTATGGAATCCCATCACTTCAACTTGCTCAAACTTGAAGATGATCGAACAAGGACTTAGATCTAGCAACCTAGAAGCATAAAGTTCGAATCTTGGACACTACAATGGTCCAAAATGTGCACACGAGGATGATGATGAGGTTTCCTTGCTAGATCTACATGCTAGAACACCTTCTTCTTCTTCTTTTTCAACCTACCAAAGCACCTAATATGGGCCAAGAACCACCAAGAGGGATTAGGGTTAGGGGTTTCTGAGGTTTGAGGCTGATGAAGGCTGATAATCAACCTTAAAATCGAGTTAATGGGGTTTAAACACGAAGGGAGCCCTAAAAGATCATGGGCTTGGGTTGCAGCCTACCTCTCGTCGTGACCACATATGTGTCACGTCGTAACCACAGTCCAGATACGCTTTCTTCACTTTTTGCTTTTCACGTCGTGACCTCTCTATGGTCACGTCGTGACACCCGGTTTTCCAAAAAAAAAACCAAGCTTTTGACTCCTTAAGGCCCTAAATGGAACCATTCTAGAAAAACGAGTGTTACAACTCTCCCCCACTTAAATTAGATTTCGTCCTCGAAATCTTTTAATACAACTTACTCTGTCAAACCAGACAACCCTGTCATAACTTCTGGAATTCCGATTAGGAATTAGAAGTCAACTCACACCAGAAATCACATACCCTGGCGAAGAATGAACCTTAACTCTCCGCCCTCAGACAACAAAAGAAAATCCAACTGCTTTGCTTGAAAACTGAAAACCCTAAACCATGTATGACTTCCAGACAGACATAACCATACCAAACCACAACCATAATGACTCCACTCTGCAACCCAAACCGAACAAATCCTTCCGACCCTGAATTATCACGTTGTAACTGGAAAACAAATACCTTGACCATTCACCGATGCCGATAACCTTGAACCTTAAAACAAAGGTGAATCCCACCACAAGTCTCAACCATTGGTGCCAAACCAATACATAACTCACACCCTGATAACCAAAAGTTTGCATATTCGATCTATCTGTGATCCCCTGATTCCATGTTGACCTTTTAATAAACTGGGATGCAGAAACCTTACTCGTTTGCGGAGACTGACAATCTCAGGCACGGTCGCACAAAAAGACTCCACCCAAGAGTCTAAATGATAAAGGCTACCCTACCCTATCTGCCATACAGATCCAACCTAGTGATCATCGAGTTTCCCTACTCCAAACTTGCTCCAATGCCCCCAACCATGCCAAACACTATCGCCTCCCACCCTCATGAGTCATACACTTACTGATTCACGATATATCGTTACACCAATTAATCCACTTGAACGTTAAGATCACAAAACACCTTGATCTTGCCAACTCTCCATCACTGGCCTTGGGACTTACCACCAATACCACATGCCAGGAGCATGTCCTCAAATGTCTGAACGATCTGATCCCCCAAGATACATAACCAACCGTGCCTCGCTACGGGTCTCACCCCAACTAGCATAACCAAACGAGCATCGCCCATTGGTCTCACCCAAGCTAGCATAGCCAAACGGGCCTCGCCCACGGGTCTCACCCAAGCTAGCATAGCCAAACGGGCCTCACCCTCAATCGGAAGCTATACTAGTACAATAACCGATACAGCTCTAACAGTCCTCATGCCTGAACACTGAGTGAATAAATAACAATAAGAAGTCTGACTCAATCCGAACGAAGGATGTGATCCCCTCATAGTCTTACAACCATTCCAGTAATAGCCAAACTCATCCTAACAGATACTACGAGGCCAGCCTGTAGTCTTGCCAATTATTCACAATAGCCATGGAACCAGCCCATGGGCTTTCCAACAATACACAAACCGAGTTAAAATCAACACAGGCCAAAACCCCAACCTGCTAAACCCCCAAACATGTGTTCGGGTCGTGTTTCGAACTCCAAAGCCTTTATCAGACAAGAATGGGTAGCGAGGTCCTAACACAACCCTCAACCTGTCTAGCCATAAACCCATAATGCGCCACTAGCGATGTTTCATGTCCTCAGACAAGATAACATGAATCCTCAACATTCAACTCCTTGATTACGATCGAACAATGAACATTAGTCGTGGGATAATCCCCGACTCATACCACTGCCAGAACTGGTTCCCCACCCTAGAATATGAAATTCCACCGTGTTACACACCTGGAAATATTCCCATTAATCCCAAGCGATTCTCCTCCACTTAGATTCAACTGCACTCTGCCAACCTCATAACCGTTGGATCCGAACCACCTCACAATCTAACTATTCCACCATTATCATCCTGAGCTTACAAGAGCTAAGAATCCACGACCAAACAATCTAGGGTACCCACACCCCAAGCCAGATCAAACACTTATCTACTAGTGACTAAAGATTGTTGCCTCCAATGCACTTTCCCCTGATAAATTTTCAAGTCCTTGAACAACCTTAACTGACAACAAGGAGCGAATAACCCACTATCGGAACAAATGGATAACCAATCCAATAACTCACTTGCTGAAAGATCGATGAACCAAAAACATCGTGATCTGATACAACTCGAACACTCCTGAACAATCCCAACAGTTGAATGAATCCATGCGAAAATGCATCACCCACACCTAGAAGTTGATAGGTCACAACAGCTCTTATCCTACTAACGAAAACGATCAGTTCAACGAGCTAACCAATCCTTCATGTAACATCCATAAAATTCGAGCCAATTTAAAACTTTTTTAAATCATTTAAAACCATCCAGTCATTACAATTTGTTTTCAAATTAATTTAAACATCAGAGTTCCCAGAAATTATAATCATCAATCGAGGAAGTGTACGGTCACGCCTTCGCCTTCCCACGGCCATCCGCTGAACCTGAAACAATAAACTGAAACTATAAGCCCGAAAGCTTAGTGAGTTACCCCCAAAATACCAACCTCATATAACCATAATCATATCATATCAACAAATACAAAACAACATGCATAACGAGCCTTCAGCCTGACTGGACCGCCTCGTAGGCCTTCAGTCTATCTAGACCGCTCTCCGAGCCTTCGACACGTCTGGACCGCCTCGCAAGGCCTTCAGCCTATCCGGACCGCTCGCTGGGACTTCGGTCTGACTATCATACCCTTCCGGGTTTGTAGTCTATCCGGTCCGCCCTGGGTTTGTTGGCCTTCAGCACAAAGCAGGACCGCCTCAACCCCATCCCCAATCAAATAAACATGTGCACATAACTATCATACGCTAGCATAACACATATAACAATCAAACCGATCTAACAGATCATATAACATAGCAACATCCTATAACTAGGACACCGACCTAACCAGGTCACTAAGCA